AATGTGTCAATCACTTACACAGTAATGAGAACTTTATTTTACATGGTTTTCAAACCATCATTCAATTTATACTTAGAATTATAATTGAAATTTAATAACAATTTATTGTTAAAAGAATGAAGTCCTCAGGCAACCGAAATAAAAGTTGCAATGTTGTCTTTCGTGAATGTTTGAAATTCTCGTGTACTCAATTTTTCAAGGTGATCCATTTTTGTTCTTAATCAAGGTCTAATTATAGTGTTTTCTTTACGAGAGACTAGGTCATCGTGTTCAGCATTCCATTGCTGTTTTAACATTTCGAATGTGGCTGTGGGTCGAGTGGACGGTGTCAAGTTACTCTGCTTCGGACTGAATGCTGTTTTATTTGTCTCGAAGGTTAGCATTTAAACAAGAAGGTATGGGATGTACTACCATGCATTTTTTCTTTCTCTCTGGTTTCTTAACTATTTTCTCGTCTAACAGTAGAAACATTAGGCTCTCTTAATATAGTATCGACATTGTCTTATGCTACCGTAGATGCAGCTTTAGAGCGTCTTATTTTTACTACAGAATTCTTAGAATCATCGGAATAGCCTAGTGAAACATTAGATATAGTTTTTAAACTCTGAAAATTTGCTTCGTTTAACACTGGTTCACGAATTCTTGTTGGTTCGATTGGATTTAAATAAGTTCAGGCGGTATACAAAAATCCCAATATTAAGAAGGGTCAGTAAGATTTGTATTTTGCAAACTATTAGTTAAAGAAGATTTCTTATCATTATTTTGATCGGGACTGCTTTCCAAAGCATGTTCGTACGTTGATCTGTGGGCAATGTATTGCAGTTTAGGATTTCATTTTATCACGAATTTTCGACGAATCACCGTCAAACTTAAATCCTACTGATTTTTGAGGTGCAGTTTTAATTTTATTATTTACAGAAATCTTGGCAATTAGTGGTTGTGCTAAAGGGTTTAATATTTCCTTTAAGTCACTGGCTTTAGTAATAGCTTCTTGTTGTGACTTATTATCTGTTGTGGTTAAGATAAAGGGTAAATATAGTTTAGTATTTCAGAGGCTAGGAAGTAGAGATTCATCTCTTTGGGATGTTGGTGCCTGCTGACTCTCTTCCTCTTCTGATGTGTCTGAAATTTCTATGTCGTCAGAGTGTGAAGTGGCCATGGGTCTGACAGAAGTAAGTAAACTTCGTTCTTCTTAAACTCAGCGCTTAAGTGAGCGGTAAGCTATTGATGGTCCGCTGAGATCTCCTTGTCCTTTTTTCATTCCTGGTATGGTAGTAAGAGAAGAACTTTGAAAGCCTTTTTTCTTCCTCTTCTTACCTGTTTCGTTGTAGAAGTAGATTCAAGCTTATTCGAGCTTTAATGGTTTATGTCACTGATTTAAGTAGCATGTGCAGAAGATGTTTTTGAGGAGCATACAAGTAAAAATGTTATGAGCTATATCATCATCTTTATAAGTTGCTTAATCTACACCACAGTAAGTGATAGATACTCCTTTAATGTAATTAAAGATTTCGTCATTTAAGAAATATGTATATTTATTATGTTTTTTAAATTATAACATTTAAATTAAATTTCAGTCTTTATCAAATACTTTAAAGCATACATTGTTAATCAACTAAGTTTGACGTCATTTAAACGAAGATTTACACTTAGTTTAAATATTTTATGTAATGGGCATTAATATAAAAATTTTATTGTTCCTGAGAAAATTTTTATTTTATTACCTTATTTATTGACAGTAAAAATTGGTCGAAAATCACTCTCCAAAACAATTTGTATGATTTCAAAACGTTCACTATTATCCATTAAGTCTCAAAAATTTAATCAACTTTTTTCAAAACTTTTTTTTTTGGTTTAGTAAAGCTTTACTTCGCATAATTAAATCCACTTCCCGCAATTTTTTTCAAGAGTGTTGTTCAAAAAATGTACTTTTAACAATAGCTTATAGAAAGGATGATTTAAAAGTTTTATGACTTGTCATGAGAATTGCATTAGAAAGTCATATGGAAGTGATAACTGTCCAAACCATAGAAAAAACTTTTTTCTGTTAAATTAAAATATAAAATTGAATTTTCATACAAAAATCTATTATTCGTACTATCTGGACCATGAATGAAAAAATTTTTAGTTTACTCTCATATATTTGACGGATAACATAACAGTAACTGATAATATTGAGAATCACAACTTGGTATTAAGAAGCATAACTATTTATGTACATCATCAATTACTCAAATCAATATTTCACTGTCCACAGCTTCTTCAGGATTAGATATCTACAATTATAATCAAGTAAAAATTTAATAAAAGTCTTACGAAAGTAAAACAATCATTTTTTATGTACAAATATTGTTAAATATAATAATATTCCATGTAGGTGCCAAGAGAACACGTGATAGAGGCACCTATGGCGATGGCGCCTATATTATCGTCCATGTATTACATTAACTCAACTTAGTAACAATAACAGTCGTGTTCTCAAAATTCAATTTTATAATAATTAGAAAAGTTAAAAAAAATTAACAGTAAAATTCAATAACAGTAACTGCTTTTTCAATAATTTTATCAACTTGAGAGTTATGCTCTATTGAACCCAAACTAATAGCAGTTTCTTTAATGTTTTTATGCGAAATTTTTCCACGTTTTTGAAATCTCTGACACTTTAAGCATCTATTTTTACATAATATTAATAAAAAAAAAACTTTCCAGTCTTTTCAAGACACAATAGTAAATCTACATAAAGTTATATTTTTTTTACTTGTTGTCATCTTTTTCGTCTTCTTATTTTTATTTCAATAATATTTCTTGCAAAATTCTTGACTGTATTTAATTCAAACCAAGCTGCGAAAGAAGTTTCTTAGTTATTAATGTATTTTTTCAATTTTATTATTCTAAAAATAATGTTTCGTCTGCTTTCAAGATGCTTTTTTTTTCACAAAATTTAAAAAATGCTACATCACATCGTTTATGAAGATAGTTAATAACGTACTTTATACTTTGTATTCATACATAGCACTCCAGATTTATGTAGCACTCATATTAAGTGAATAAAGTAAAATTATAGTATTATTTTCTGAAGAATCTAGAAATGTAAAGGAGCATGAGATTTGTCAGTAAGCATTGTATTACCTACTTCAAAGTTTCAAGACAAATTTCATCACGTACTTTCCAATTCTAATTAATTCATGCAGTAATTAAATTACTATTTATTAAGGAGGCTCCACCGCTTACTGCGGTAGTTCATTCAGTGATGATTGATGTGATAGCACTAGACGAAAGCTTCCTTTTCTGCTAATAGTGTGTTGGTGATGAACTTTGTTTTATTTTTAACTGACCTTACGTACTATTGTATCTAATATACTATGTATTCTATCGCGTGCACTCTTGAAGAGAAATATAGCCGGCAGGGTTGTCCCTGCACGCACTGGACGTAACTGCACAGCAAAATTGTATTTCAGCTATTTTTTCATCGCTTACTCCTATTAAGTCACCTGATTCTTTAAAGATGGTAATGTCAGCTTTACGGTACGTACATTTTTTTGCTTGTGCATTCCATTTAATAGTTTAATTGATCGTTATAAGTTTGCTTTAGGTCTTCGGCCGTGCGAGGTTTTGATTTTGATAGTGAATCCATTAAAATAAGGATATCATTGGATTTACCGCAATCTAAACTTTAAAAATGCATAGTAAAAAGTACATTTAGTAATGGAGCGTTTTTAACCAAAATATGAGGACGGGCGTGGAGGACTACATAAAATCATGAAAGTAGCCAGAGGATGGGTAAGGTAGGGAAAAATAAAGGCAAAAAACTTTGAACATAAACAAGAATGGGCATAAAATATGCAATATTTTCATAAAACTGTATGAGAAGGGTTGAAGGAGCGTTTCAATGATCCTCTTTACGACTATACATATATTGTGAAGAAGAGGCGAGGAAGGCTACAAAGAATCGTGAGGGGGGTAAGGAGGGGTTAGGGGGCAAGGCGGGGCTGAAAGAAAGGTAAAAAAAACTCTTAAAATAAACAAATATATGCATAAAATATTTGACATTTTTATAAAAGTGTATAAGGAGGGGCAGGAAGGGAAAAGGTGCACGTCTTGTTCGTGGATCATGGAGGTACTTTTGTTTTCTTTATTATATTTTATGTTTTGCAGGTAACACTAATTAAATCTTGGTTATACTTTAACTTTAGCGGATATCCATCTGATCTATCGTTTCATTTGAACAAATATTATTTTTAAAATTTTGTTTAAGGGCAACATTGTTTAGCAAGCAAATCTTTTTCAATCACTGACCCTAGGGTTAGATTTTTTGCTTCAGTAATGATATTTAAATGGTTACTTAAATATACTTTTTTTTAGAGCTTTACGTCCAGCTCCTATAAAGGGGACTACTCTTGGCACTTAGCACTTGGAAGAAGGAAGGGAAGAGGGATGGGAGGCCTCATATTATTGGGAGGGGGGTGGGAAAACTCGACTACTTAAATATACTTAATGCAAGTACAAGTTACCGTAACATATCTATACTAAGATTGTGTTAAATGTACTTTCTTTTTGTAAGTCTATTCATTTAATGCATGTGTGTATGAATGTACGAATCTAAGTATGTGTGTAAATGTATGAGTACCTTATTTTTTTAGTTTATTTGTAAAAAATATATTTATTGTTTATCTGTAGGCTGAAGTATCTTCAAGATAAAATCTTGTATTTACGTGCAACTGAACATCTTACGTAAATCTAAGAAAAAACACAAAAATCAGATGCCTATTGGAGTTCACTAATAAATATACGTTACGTATAAAACATCGAATAGAAAACTTGGTAGGCACCAGGTACAAAACTTTATTCATGAATATTTTCGTTTAACTTATTTAAAACTTAAACATAAAATTATTAAAAATATAGTAAGAAGAAATTATTTGGTGTGTGTAATACATTTAAAAATGTAATCATTCCATTAAATAACTTAAGTATATTTTTTTATGTCAAAACACCCTTGCTTCACCCAGAATTTTTTTTCTGTTGTGTTGTACTATAACGTTTGCAGTAATTCGTTTTACGATTTTTTTATCCTTTATTATTTGTAGTAGTACTCCTCATTTTCAGGAATAGTTCACGAAATTAAGAATTCTTTTCCTCTGATTTTTTCGTTTCTTCGTTGCGATTTAACTGAAACTTGTTTTTTTCTGAAACAATAAATTAAATTTAAATGATATACGGTAAGACACTAGAATAAAGAGTTTTTTCGTTATTGAAAAAAGTTATTTTTAATGTAAAAATGTTGTATTTTAATTGATACAAAACTTATTCATCGACTTAAGTAACAAGTCTATTTTCTTAAGAGTTAGGAAAATACTTATTAGATAAATATCGGGTAACTACTTAAAGGCAACAAGAAAAACTGCAGGAAAAAAATAATTCGAGTGTGTTTGAATTATTCAACGGATATTTCTGTTAATGATAGAAGATTATCAAACTGAAGTGATATAAAAAAAAAAAAAAAATATGAATTGGCAAAAAAAAAACTAAAACTACGAATGTTAAACAAATTTTTACTACTACTATGAATGTGCATTAATGAAAAGAGTCGAAGATGTTTTAAATTCCCTGCAGATTCTTTGAGACCGCAGGACAATAAAAGTAATACAAATATAGTATTACAACGTTTTGTTAACTCGATATATTGAACTCAATAAGTGTTATTTATGTTTAACAAAACACTTAAATTGATTGAAGTAAAATTAGTTTTAAACTGAAAGCGAATATTGAGTTAAATTTAATATACAAAAAATATCACTGGAAACTATAACACCAAAAAAATAAAAAGAAGCTTTAAATAATGCAGAAAATAACAATAAATAAATACTAAAAGAATAAAATTAACTAACAGATCGTAAACTAGAAAAATTAATATTAGTAACTTTAAAAGTTTTATTTTGTTTGTATTTCATAATTCACAATATTTTGATGAGGATATTTCCATTTTGTATGCAAAAAAAATTAATAACATGTAATACACTATTATTTTCGTGACCTCGTATTTTTTGCATTTTGAGAAAGAAGAGGAACGGCACGAATGTTGCATTTTTCAAACTATTTGAAATGTGTGTGTGTGTTGAAATTGTTATAAAGAGGTACTAAAAATAGCAGTTTTATTAGTTGAAATTTGATTAAATGTACGTGGATAAGAAGTGAAACTTTTAGTTATTCCAAATTTCATATGCACAATAGTAAAAAATATTGTACATCAGTTCTATCAAAATTTTTTCTGAGAAGTTGCTATTTTTTGCCACTGGCACTATTTAGTCCTTACAACACTTTAGACTTGTAGATTATGATAGTACATTATAATCACATAACGCTGAAAAAAAGTTGGTACACGATGATATTTTATTCGTATTGGAACAAACAATAAGTCTCCAAGTCATCCGTTATAAATTTTTGCAAAAAAAAGACTATACAATCTAATAGATATGTTAATCCTTGGGGACAAATAAATCACTTGTTCAAAATGGGTATTCTATGCATGAATAACGCAACCTCCTCAGTTTTTATTAGTAAAAAATAAAATAAATATATAACTAGTATTAACATCACTGTTGTTATATTCATTTATTTTTTTCAACGACGTTTAAACTGCACGTTGGTTATGCTTTTCAAGTCACTTATATAATAAAAATATAAAATTAGATATTCATACAAAAAATATAATACACAGTTATACTAATAATAAATAAAAACAAACTTTGCAACTTATAAACATACTATGATATACAAAGCAAAGTCAAAAAACGTTGGTCAACATCTTTTTTTGCTCGTAGGAATGTATCAAATATAGATATGACTAGGTTCAAAGAAACGCAGAGTAACATGTAAATATGCAGGTACGTAAACTTGAAAAATTACAATCAAGGCATGTATGTATTAGATATTTTTATACATCAGAGCAAATTTTAAAATTGAATGGGTTCTGAGTATGGGATCAAATCTTAATTTTCAATTTTCAAACAATGTTCGATAAAATATTTAACAAACTGTATTTAAATTATTTGTATCTGTTTCAGTATTAACGGAATTAAATTTAATTACCTCAACATTTTCTGATATAATTTTTTTTATTATATGAGGATTCTTGATTCAACACTTGCACTGAATTGAAATCGTAGGTGTGGCCGCTATTTTAAGTGTGCACATATACAGCTAAATGCTTTTTATTGTGTTGGCAATCCTTTGTATGTCCTTTAATTTTATTGAAAAGAATTCGTTAGATCAACTGAGTACTTGCTTAGACGTTCATGAAACATTTTAAATTGAAATGTTATTAACAACTGGTTTTATTAATAATAATTAAGAACTTTTGCTTTGTTACATAATTTATTTCTTACCTTAAGTAAGGCTGACGGCTGTTTTGGCAGTTCTGACATTATAAATGATTCGACATACAATGCCGAAACAGCTGTTAGTTTTACTTAGAGTAAGAAATAAATTGTGAAATGAAGCAAAACTTTTTTATTATTATTAATAACCCCATTTATTATTAACGTTTTGAATTCTTTTGGTTTGACCCACATAGTATTTATCGTAGTTAATATGATTGAAAGAAGTACAGAAAATCATGTATCAAGATTATTTAGTGTATCCTTATCTAAGCGGTTTAATACTTTTAATTCGTTAATATTATTTTATTTAAACATTTCTTAAATAGTAAATCACACAACCTTCTATTTGCGGTAACACTACATAGATCCTTAGATGTTCAAAAAACCTTTTACAATCTTACCAAATTAATAGATTGGTACTTGAAATTTTTTAAATGTGTAGTTGAAAGTTTATTTATA